ATGCCCGATCGATAATTAACTTAGCGAAGTGAAAAGGTGCATGGGGTAAAATATATTTGTTTTTGAAAGATTAAGTTTTTGTAGTTTTACAGACTTGTATTTTGTGTTGTGAATTGTGAATTAAGGTGAGTTCATCTAAAATTTATTTTTTATTTTAGATTTATTTAAACATTAAAAGACAAAAACTTACATCCAAAAAATCATGTTATATTTGATTATATAAACATCATTGTTAATTGAAGTAAATTCAAGCAGAATATTTGATAAGCACTAATATTACTATTTTGAAAAATTTATAAATTTTGAAATAAGAATTGCTGAAAAAATACTTTCGAGTTTGAGTTTGAGTCGTCGAAACATTTCCATTTTTCATGAATAATTTGTCAATTTGTTTACTTCCGTATTAATTTCTTTACAGTATTCAGGATGTCAGAAAAAAAGAAGAAATTGTCTGGATACCAAAATTTGCTGAATAAAAGAAAAAGAGAGGGAGAACTGGAAAACCATGTCAAAATTACGCATTTTTTTTTTTTCAAAACCCGAGTCTACTTTGCTAAATATTAATAACAACAATATATATATGGGTGGCTCACGCTCAACGGGATGGGAAAACGACCAAAGATATAAAAAATTCGTTTGGGAGGAATACGTAGGTTACAGACGGCTACAATTTAAAATTTGTTAGATGTATACAGGATGTCCCACATAAGAGAAAATATACAAAGTTATATTATTTTTAATGGAACACCCTGTTTTTTATTTTAGAATTAAAAACTACATCAAAAATAATGTCAGTTAACTAAAGGTTCCCTATTACTATTATTATTAGTTTTCGATTTATTTGAATTTTTAAGGAAAACAAGTCTCCCAGAAATTAATTGTTTACTCTTGTTTGAATAATTTTTAATGAACTAATTTTTTTTTCTTATGTGGGACATCCTGTATACATCTAACAAATTTTAAATTGTAGCCGTCTGTAACCTACGTATTCCTCCCAAACGAATTTTTTATATCTTTGGTCGTTTTCCCATAAAGCTCCGTCCCGTTGAGCGTGAGCCACCCTGTATATTTGTAAAATTTGGAAGTGCCTTTTTCCCAAAATCATGAATATATATCGAAACATATATGTAAAAGTTAATTGTTTATTTCATCATTTTAAGTTCATCATAGTATTGATTTGAGGGGAGTTCAAAATCGAAATCAATAGAAGATTAGTAACATGCATTCACACTTATGCTTAAAGTGCATTTGGATCCTTTTAATAATTTTGTTATGTTCAATCATTAAGAATATACGATAAGTTGTTTTGTAAGAGGTTACAATAATTTTAGGAGATTTTTTATTTCAGCCGTATCTTTTCATGATTAATTTTGACTTGATACAAACATTTTATATGTAATGTGGTGAAATAAATATATATTTTTCACTTTTAATAAATTAAACACGCGTACTAGTTTTCATTGTTATTTATGTTCCTTTTTATTACTATAAAATTTTTGTGATGTAGTGAAATAATTTTTTTCCACTTTTACTAAATATAAACACGCTTAAAGTTTTGCTTTTTATTTTCCTGCTCACTATAAATTGGTTAAAGAAAGGACTTAAAAAAAACCACACATATAATATAAACAAAAGAGTTTTATTTTGTCCAATATTCTAAGTACAGACTTATTTACTCCTTTCTGCACATTCTCGCTAATCCCAAAAATAAAAAGATGGCGGCTCACTATAATAAATTTTTATGGTTTATTACATCTCCTAACACTTTAGATCTGTGTAATAAATAAAGAATCTAAATATTGGCTAGTTGTTATAGAAAGAATTTTTTACGTGATTCACTTTTTAGGTGAGCAAAATTTAGCTTTTCGTAGAAGAAGTAATAAGTTTTGAGAAAAATAATGGTAACTTTTTAAAATGCATAGAAATGATTTCCAAATTCCACCCGATTATGTTAGAACATACAAAACGCTCTCAAATAAAAGATCACAATAATTATCTCGGGGATAAAATACAAGATGAAATAATCAACATGATCGGTGAAAATAATCAAATCCAAAATTTTAGAACTAACTAAAAAGGCAAATAGTATATTACACACCGAGGTGGGAAGAGTTTCATTCTTGCCGTGAGATTAGTTAGATCAACGAGACGCGAAGCGTCGAGGTTAGCTATGATCTCGAGACAGGAATGAAACTTCCTACCGAGGTTTGTATACTATTTTATTTACAACCATCATATTTCGATCAAAGTTAATAAATCTCTGTTTTGTTCTGAACATACCTAAAATATTACATTTAACGACAAATTACCAAGCGCGCGGTTTTCTCAGAATAATCAAGTAGGTAAATATATTGTTACTGTGATTACGGGGTAAACAACTGTCACCAATATAAATAAATGTCGGATAAAGCCGGATATTAAATTCGCGAATAATATCAATAAGTACTGTTATATTTTAGATCATTGTTGTTTTTTATTGTTTGCCATTAAATAGGTAATATAAAATTTGTCAAACAATGTGTTATTTTTTTTTAAATATAAAAAATATTCATCTAGAATAGATGAAATGAGGGCGGGAAGTGAGGGCGGGAAGTAGAGGTGTGTAATGTGACACTTCCCAACCTTCAATGACGTTAGTAATGACAACATTACATATATGGTTGTAAATAAATATTATTCCATATTATTAGACTGCACTCCTGACTCTAGTCACCAAGAACAAACAGTTTGTATAATATTTGTTAATTTAAAGAGCACGGAAAGCGTAAATAGACAACCTACTTCAATACGTTTTTATGCGTTAATCGTGCAGAAAACCTACTTGAATATTTCATCGGATGGTGCCGTATTGGAATAGGATTGCGCGTTATTACTGTTGGAAAATAACTAACATTATTCTCCGCCAGAATATATCAATTATTTTACTCCTCTTTCCCCTACGCCGCTAGTCAGCGAATTTAAATATATTTGTTTCTCTCGCCCCTTATTACATAATTAAATGCTAAACCGCATCTAACATCATGCAACCAACATCACATTTGCGTCTGATTGGTACTATTGGTAGTTCATGACGTAATTCCAACCAACCCTGGCAATTCGCTCTCATTTTCTATCTCCTCTTTAAAACGGTGCAACTCGGGCAGCGTTTAAACAGAAGCAATCTTAAGTTAAGGTGAGAAGGGTGTGCCGGGTGTGCCGGGTGTGCTCGTCATAATAGAGAGTTTTCGCAAAAGTGACCTAACGTTAGGCGCTACTAGCGTGAAATATTTTTATGTTGCATTTAGGTAGTTAGCGTCATATGAATATTTTCAGTTTTCGCAAAGGACAATTGACAGAAAAATCCGTACTATTTTTAACCTAAAAGATATGTAAAATAACCTCAAATGTAAATTATTTTTCCCGTTTTGGCCCGACACGTATTTTGGTTTCGTAAGTTTTCTAAAAAAGATGGAAAATCTATTCGAAATAGCGGCTTTAGGTGGCTTAAATAATGATGAATTAGAAGATGCAATTCTTTATGAGCTGCTTATGGAACGACGTCCTCCTAGACTACGGCAAATGCAGTATGGTTTATTTGATTTAGAATTATTAAGTGAGGAAGAGGTGAAATTAAATTTTAGATTTGAAAGGCAAGATTTACATCGCCTAGTCAGAGCATTAAGAATTCCCAATGAAATAAGAACTGAAAATAGGCATGCAGTGAGCGGTAAGTTTACTTATTCACTTAAAACATACATTCCTAATTACTTTGTTTTGCATTTTTAGGACTTACAGGTTTATGCATTTATCTTAGAAGACTGGCCTACCCTAACAGGTTGATTGATTTGGAGCAGTTTTTTGGCATATCTGGACCTTTCATATCAGATATTATGCAAAACATGGTAACCCTTATTTATAATAATTGGGGCCATCTATTAACAAACCTCAATAATTTAAGATGGTTGAATTTTCAAAGACTGGAAAGATATGCCCAGGTTTCTTATTTGTTTAATAAAATGAGTTTACTTTTTTTAACACATTTACTTTCAGGCCATACGGGATAAAGGTGCAGCTATAAATAATTGTTGGGGTTTTATTGATGGTACTGCACGACAAATATGTAGACCATCTGAAGATCAAGAACACTATTATTCTGGACATAAACGTGTACATTGTGTAAAATATCAATCCATAGTATGTCCAGATGGAATGATCACTAGTTTAATAGGACCATTTCAAGGTAGACGTCATGATTCTGGCATTTTTCGTCAAAGTAATATATATGAACAGCTACAACAATGTGCTACTTTTCCTGACGGTGTCCAGTTTGTTATTTATGGGGACCAGGCCTATGGAATTAGAGAATTGTTAATATGCCCATATCCCACTAGACGGTTAACTCCAGAGCACCAGGCTTTTAATAATTCTATGTCACCTGTAAGACAAGCAGTAGAGTGGGGTTTTGGTAAAATTGTAGCAGAATTTGCATTTTTAGACTTCAAAAAAAATCAAAAGTTACTCTTGCAGGACATTGGTGCAATGTATTCAAGTGCCACAATTTTGATAAACTGTCACACAACTTTGTATAGGGGACAGACTTCCACTTATTTTAATGTAGATCCACCAGCATTAGAAGAATACTTGCAGTAAATTTTTCTCTGTCTAACTTTGTTTATTTTGGGATTTGGTCTGAAATATAGCAATTTAGTTTTTGATTAATAAAAGAAAATGTATTTTCATTCACATCATATAATTGTATAATAAGATTTTTTAAATTATTAAAATGTCTTTTTTGTATGATTTCTGTAAGTTTTTTTTTACATATTTGTTTTGTATTGACTTTGGTAGTACGTATCCAGCCTCAACAAATTTTTTAAATTTTACTAATGTGTTATGTGTATACTTTGTTACTGTTTTCCCTTAGCCACATAATGGTTACATTTTATACAGATAACCATATTTTGCCACTGCAATGTCAATACTATAAAAGTACACTCCTATTTATCATGTAGATGTGTTGTTTAATGTTGAAGTGATAACTTTGTAAAAATAGGGATTTGAAAACAACAGTCATAAGGTTGAAACTTGTTTATTAATAAATCGATCATTTTATTTTGTTTCTCTATAAGAGATTGCTGATTGTTATTACTATTTTTTTCATACAAAAATTTTTCTGTTTCCAGTTTCATTTTAAATTGTCTCTCTTCTTTTTCCAACTTGAACCTTTCCTCTTCCAGCTGCATTCGTCTCTCTTCCAAATTTAATTTTCTTTCTTGAAAATCCAATTCTATTTTTTTTATAGCGTGTTCCTTGGCATTTCTATTTTCAACAAACTGCATTGCATCTTTTCGAACAGCTCTTAATTTTGGTTTTTTCTGTTTGTTTGGCTCTAAAATAAATTTATAAAAATTACTGAAGTTACAGTTACCTCCATTTTTCAATAGATAAAAATGCAGTATATCTATCTCTCAAAAAAAAGGCAAAACAAATACCCTCATTACATTGGCACTTGGTACAAAAGCAGTGTGACTAAGTGAAGATAAGCTAAATTAATTAGAAATAGTACTTTTTAGCGGATTTGTTAAAAAGTAGTCTGATGTATAGAAAAGTTACTTTTGCTTAGCTTATTTTTGTTTGTAGATATACTATTAGTAGTAAGATTAAGAAATCCTCAAATTCAAAGGTTTATTATACTTACTTGCAGCATCACATGTAGGGGCAGTATTCTCATTATTAGCTGGAGGTTTCTTATTCTCTTCTGGTATGGTTACATCAACTAAAGATATTTCATTTTCGAAGCCTTCGATGCAATAATCATGCATATTTACTTGAAATATGTTATCATCCTGTTCATCTACAATAAAAATATAATTTTAAAAACTTCATAGGGTTTAAATTATTTTTTATATTCTCACCCTCAATGACAAAACTATCATCGTGGCTAGCAATTTCTTTAAAAAAAGCTGCTGATGTAGATGCTCTGCTCTCTTTGCCCAGAACTATAATTTTGTCATTCCGGGAAATTTTCGGTTTTTTAGCTTTCATTGTGATGTTTAATTCCCTGCAAATATCGGCGACTTCTTGCAGTAGATTATCTTTTTCAGAGTAAATCTCTTCTATCCCTGACCTAAAATTAGATATTAAATTGTAACTCCTGAAGACTTTATGGCAACTTGTACATACTTGCCAACATTTGTTGTATCTTTTTTTTTCCAAATTTCCAGCAATAAATGCAGGTGATCTTTCAGGCTTCTCAGTGTAAAACACTTGCCAGTTACAGCCTGAATAACATCTCCTACTTCCTTCCACTTTTCCAGGTCCTTCAGTGGATTTATGTTAACAACTTCACGCAGAAGTGCCAGGTCGTCATCGTAAGTAAAACGTACTCTTTTCGGAGTTTTTGGAACGTTTTCCTTATTCTAAAAATAGAGAAGAACAATAAATTCAACAGCTTGTGGAGACTTTAAACAATATAAACTTACCATTTTGCTAATGCACGTGGCTTCTTTTTAATCAGCTAAAAGTACCCTATAAACTACAGACTATCTAGAGTAAATTGAACTTAAACCACAAAAAACTAGGAACAAAACTTAAAAAACTACTTATTTAATAAAAATATTTTAACAAAAACCAAGAAATATGAATTAACTACTAGCAAAAACGGACGTCGAGGAAGGCGAAATTTCAAATAATGGAAATAAAGGACAGGAAGCGGCGCCACTTTCTCTTTTGTTGACTTTTGACAGAAAAATAAGCGTACAGATGCAGCAACAGTACAGATGGAGGACATGAAAAATTACTAAATGGGACAAAAAGTTACTAAATTTGACGTTAATAAGGTCAAATAAGTGTAACGGTAAGAGTCCCTTACCTGCGTCGGGCGCTAACGCAACTAGCGTCCCCGTATTTTGAAATACCTATTGCGCATGAGTACATGTCAATTTACCGTTGACGGTACTAGCGCCTTACGGTATCAGAACATGCGAAAACTCTCTAATATGTGAGTTTTCCCGCACTTTGTGGGCGTTAGGCGGCCGGCGTTCTTATTTATCGGAAAAAGTGAATTAAAACTTATTAGCTCGGGGTGTTATTAAGTAAAACATTTATAAAAGCAAGTAGCCTCATACTAGACATACTCTATCATTGTTTGTGCCTGTGTTTCGTATCAACAACTTGTTCTTTTGTTGTATACCTAATAATATTGTAATAAACTCTATTAAAAGTGGTGTAGCAGTTTGAATACCCAAAACCAGTAAAATCTAATCATACAGTCCATTAAAAAACACACAAATATTGGGAGAAATCAGAAAATTACCCCATATTTGCGCAATTACGCTGTCTAAACATGCGGAAATACTACTTCAGTGCAGCCCGTGTTTTCTTGCGTAAAAAACATATATGTATTTGCATAGTTTATTAATATTTGTTGTCATTCTGTAAATGATTTTTATTATTGAAGCTATCTATGGGGTTGCTTTTTGGCACCTTAACTGAAATAGGTATCTTTAGCTCTTCGGTGTAAGGTAGTTGTGGGCTGTTCTTTGGCAAATTACTGTAGATATAAGTATAACTTTCGTCACTTTGACTGTCCATTTTCACGATTCGATAGTTAGTTAATATTGCACTAAGTAATGTTTCAATAGTTTCTTCCATTTTATTGGTAGAGTATATTGTTAATTCACTTTTTGTTTATAAATAACTGAATACCGAGCCGCCGCTTGTTATAAACATAACCAAACATAACCACTAAAGGAACACTTGCCGTACTAAAGTAGCAATTATAGAATATTACGCCGCGTATAGACCGGAAAATCCTACTCCAATACGGCACCATCCGGGGCTGTATTCAAGTAGGTTTTCTGCACGAATAATGGATAAAAACATTTCTTTTGACAACGTTAGAGAAAGATGGCTTAAATATCAACGATTTGCGGGGTCAGGGTGAAGACAATTGGTCAAATATGCGTGGTAAACATAAGTGTAAAAAAAAATTGGATTTGAATCCGCGGGCTTTCTTTGTTCCTTGTTGCAATCATAGCCTAAATTTCGTCGTCAATGATGTCGCAAAATCGAATGCTTTGAGCATCATTTTTTTTTCTGTAGTTCAAGAAGTGTTTGTATTTTTTGCAGCTTCTACTAAACGCTGGTCAATTCTGAAATCAAATTTATCTAAAGTAACAAAATTAACTTTAAAACCTTTATCGGATACTCGATGCTCTAGTAGGTAATCATAATATCAGTGGATGGGAGATTCCATTTACTTCCTTCTTACTCTAATAATTTTGCGTTTTTATCGAATATTGATAAATTTAAGAATTATTCTGAAAACGAACAATTAGAATTATGTCAAAAAGTTGAAAATTTATTAAATGACAAAACTCGCATTGAACGAGACATAACTGCCGTGGAACTTGTTAAAGAATTGCAATATTTACAAAATGTTGTTGAAAAAGTTATTACGTCTCGAGAAGAAACTTTAAATTATATAACAATTAACAACTTAGTGGATTCTTTTCCTAATGCGAGCATAATACTTCGTATTTTATTAACAATGCCGGTTTCGGTTGCTACCGCAGAACGATCTTTTTCAGATTTCAAAATAATAAAAATTTATTTAAGATCCACCATGGGGCAAAACCGACTACGTAATCTCGCTTCCATTTCAATAGAATCGGACCAGCTAAAAGAATTAGACACCGAAGATTTAATTTAACAATTTGCAAAAATTAAAGTAGGAAAAGCTCAATTCACTTAGCTAAAATATTAATAACAATACCTAATACCTGGATATTATATTAACCTTTAAAAGGTGACATGTTGCATTATTAAAATAATTTATTGTTTTGTTTTTATTTGTCGATCAATTTCGTCTTGTGATATATCAACGAGTATTTTTAATGTTTTAAGTATTTTTTTATTTCGTGTGCTTTTGTATCATATATTACATTTCAAACTAAAATACAAAAATTTTGAGTTGTAATACTGTTAAAATATATTTCTGTTTTCTATAAGTTTATAATTATGGTATGTACCTCAATAAGAAAATACTTGTATGGCTTGTACTTGTAAAATATAAAAATGAAAATAAATTTATGAAAATACTTTTTTAAATTATTTTTCAATAGTGGATAATAATACCTAATTTAACCTGTATTTGGGGCGTTATTTTAAATTTGCACAAAGGCGCCAAAAGTGCTAGGCGCGAGCCTGTATTTATATTTCTAATTTACTTAACACTTTTATCTTTATTCGACAACATTTGTATTGAAACTTATACTTGAAACTAATAATCTGCAAAGAGTATTTATATTAGAAACGTTATGTTCCAAACAACATAAGGCCGACATCGAGCTTATGTAGAAAGATCTCGTAATGCTGCCGTCGTTGCGTCGATGATCTCCAGACGTTTAGGGACAAAGCAAAAACCTTTGATTAATGGGTCGGTACGTGTACAAAGAGCTTTATAGTATTTTTTCGGATTTATCGATGTAGACTGGGCGTCGCCCTATAGAGCAGGATCGGGCTTGATCGCTTTACACGACAGTTCACTTGCAATAACATTAAAAATAGGTAGCTCAAAATTTCTTTTTTCTGAGAAGAGTAATGAAAACTTAAGAAAGCAAATGATAGCTAGTGATATTTACAAAAAAATTAAATACTCGATGTGATATGTATTCGATGTGAGACCCAAGTGTCCCCTCTAGCCAAACCATTTCAACGATGCTTCCCGGACTATTGTCACAGCATTATTAATTATTGAATATTTTTTTTTAGTTGATCATCGACAGTAACGTTCCAAATAGAGAATACGAATTTACTGCTGTACAAGCCTACTACCAATCCATCATATTATACCCAAATAATTCCGAAAAACATTTAGAAGCATTCTCTAATTTATTTAATGACGCTCATCCAACTCCAGGTGGATGGAAAGTATCTGAAGGATGTTCTGGATTCTTTAATCCTACCGGAGAATATTTTGTTGTTATGAATATTACCGATAATACCGGTTCTAAAATTGTAAGATTATTCAATTGAAAAATATAAGTATATTTATTATAATTTTTATGTGGTGTTTTATTTATTTAATTGTTTATTCGCTCTGTGCGAAGTCATGGAAAGGGAAGCAAAAGCGATACCAGCGCTAGCTGCGGATAATGCGTGCATTTTAGGGCAATATTTTGTAATTTTGGCATATCAAATACACCTATACATTTTACTTTTTTCAAAAAAGTAGGTAAAAATACAATAAGCAACCGGAGTTGCTGTGTTGAAAATTGTACAATTACTAGCAAAAAAACATATAAAAAATTTCAGTAGCAAAGTGGAAATTAAATCAAAGAAATAAATGGATAGGTATACAATAAGAAGAAAAATTACCTTTATTTTTGTAATAATAACAGTAACGCTGGAAATAGTAGACATCCGAAACTTGAAAGGTTTTAAATAAACAATAAATTATGTTCGAGGTTCTTTAATATCCCTTTATTCTTAAATGTTCATTCAGCAAGGACTAGATTTCAAGATTTCTGCCTTTGATTATTATATGTGGCTGGAATGCAATTTTGTGACTTACTAATGGGAAACCAGTTTTAATAATTCATTCTATGTTTTCTTTCGAACAAAAATGAAAATATAAATAACGATCCTTCTTTTATACATTTTAACTTCACGCTATTATTTAATGGTATTTTTTTTATTTTAACAGAATAGGTTAATTATTCAAAGACAACTTATTATACTTAGGCAACTTCTCATACATTTTCCAGTCAATACTGTTGCCTGCCTATATTTTATTATTGATTTTTATTGATTATACATAATTTTCTTTAATTTAAGCGATAAAAATATATAATAATAATAAATTAATGTTTTACTTGTTTTACAAATCCATATCCTTTTATTACAACTAACATATATACTTTTTAATTACGAATTCTATTAAAAATTGTATTTGTCAGTGTACGCAGAAATAGTTCATTAGTACCTAAACGAATTGGCGCTGCTGTCGCGCACGGAGCGAATAAGTGCAGTCTACGCAATGTATTTTTTATACATTATGATTATTAATATAAATATATAAAATCTGTATAATGTAAGGCCAACTATTCCATCAATGAGTGAATCATATACGTAGTAATATGATTCACTCCATTACATCACATTATACCACTCCAACAATAAAGTGTTCATATAAAGTAAAATATTGTTTTAATATAAACGTCTACATCAAAAGTGGAGAAAAAAAATCGCAGTATATGGTGGTTGTTGCAGTAGGAGGATCAAAGATGAGATTGATAGCGTTCGTCGCAGCTCACCGATCATTTCGTGCTTAAACTCCAATTATAGTGCCAGTACATTATCAAATATTGATGATAAGGAAACGTAAGCGAATAAAAAAAAAATCGAAAACCCAAAGATTTAATTCAAATGTTGTATTTAATGAATAGGTAGCAATAGGCAATATATGGACAGCCCTCTTAAACAGTATAGATAGTCCGCTTAGGCAATATAGACAGTCTTCTTAGGCAATATAGACAGCCCTCTTAGACAATATAGACAGTCTCTTAGACAATATAGACAGCCCTTTTAGGCAATATAGCAGTCCTATTGGGCAATATGGTACCTATTTGATAAAATAGTAGCCCTCTTTTACAAAATAGCAGCCCTCTTTGGCAAAATATCAGCCCTCATGGCAATATAGCAGACCTCTTAGTCAATATAGTAGACCTCTTAGGCAATACGACAATATAGACAAACATACTTTATTCTCTATTATAACCCTACTACTTATTAGGATTCCACCAGTACAAGTGCATTCCATGTTGCCTAAAAAGAAAATAAAAGATAAGACTTATAAAATATAGTTAGAAATATTTAAGGCACGATTAGCAGCGTTCTTTTGTTCTGTTAAAATAAAAGCCAGTTAGTTTAATTTATTTCATCTTACTAATAGCCATACAAGAACACAATAGTAATCAACATCACCTGCTCTATACTATAATAGTATATTATGCAACGATCATGTAATGATGGTTATTAATACACGAGCATTAACCGGGATACGAAACGAGCCAAAGGCGAGTTTCGTATGGTTTATGCGAGTGTTTTAATAACCATTACATGAGAGTTGCATACGCTATTTTTTCTACACCCGATAAATAATCAAGACCTATAAATATTATATTTATATTGGTATTGAACACAATAACAGTAATTACTCGTATTTCTATAAAAAATTCTACAAAATTGTAATTAATGGTATTACTTCAGGTATTGGTATTTCCCTAGATTTTTGCGGTAAAATATTTTGTACTGTATTTTCTGCTTTCTCCGATATGTGTGGAGGAGTCTTCTATATCGCTAATATCAGACATTTTAATATTATAATTATCGAAGTTTAGCTACCTACGAAAATTTAATACGTTTTGACAACTAAAATAATTACATAGGAACCTAGGACAAACGTCAAACAGCATGCTTGATTGAAAAATTGTAGGTTTCTATTGATTAAAAATCTGTATCGTAATGAAAAATCTGTATCATAATGGGTATCATTATGAAACGGATTATGGGCATATAAGGGCATTATTATAATACGGGTGTAGAAAAAAATGTTTTTCTAATTATGAAATATAAAGTGACATTTTTTGTAATCGCAGAGCAAGTGTGAAAATTATCTATTTTACGCAACCAGTTGCATAATGTTGAGTATTATGAAACTGGTTACGAAAAATTCATTATATCGCCAGAAAACAAATAAAAATAAATAATATACATTTATTGAAAGTTTATATCAAAGAAGGGCAGGTTTAACTTACAACATAGTAGTAATGTTGTTTTGATCCCTATTTTCTATTCTACACCAGCACAAAATAAATAAAACACAATACACGACAAAATAACCCACTTTTTTAAAACTAAATAACTTTAATAAACAATCTAAACACACTGCAAGTCGTTGAGAAAAAATAATTAGTAATGTTCTAATCGTGGTTCTAATTGTTAATAAAATGATGCGTATACATCTAACAATACAAGAAAGTAATATTAGTTGTCCAAATGTCAGTATTGTTTTAGTCAAAATTGGAATAAATATTGCACGTAACACGTTAGGAAATGCCGTTTTATGTACCTCGTTCATGTCGCGGGACCTCGTTCTGCTCGTCCCGCAAATATTCACTCGTTACATAAAATAGGGCATTTCGCAACTGGTTTCATAAATAGCTATTACATAGTCGTGAGTTCTCAAATCTTTAAGTAGTTACATCCACATAGAATACTGGTAAAATACACTACATTTTACATACAAAAAAATCTGTTGTGTTCAACACATGACTTTCCTATCTAGTTATTATAGGCTTTTTCATTTTATTTTGTACAACCTATTGCAGCATCTCTATAAATGTTTAGAGGATAAACTAAATATATACACTTTCCACATACATCTAACTCAAAACATTTTTTTATAGATATTCATTGAAAACAAAAATACTGAACAATTTAAATTTAGCACTTTTCCTTCAATTTTTCCATTACGGTCCATTTTAGAAAAACCATGTAAACCATGTAAACAAAAATTATAGAGATCGATATCACAAACAACTTTTCGTTTAACTATTTTCTTTAAAATCA